AAGGTCAACGACCAGGGTTATTAAAGAAACAAAGAAAGACTAAGTTTTTATGTCACCATACCGTTCCAAGTTTGTGTAATATCTTCTCTAAGGCAATAGAAATGAGGATAATAACTGCACAAACACCAGCCACAGCCCAAGTTGGTGTTTGATCAAGTTGCCTTGATGTACCATCACCCCCACCTGCCATTACTAACCCTCAACACAACTAAATTTCAGCTTCAGATGTATCAAGAATTTCAAGAAAACAAATGGGTTCTTGTTAAGACACCCAAAAGGCAATCAAGAATCAAGAAATTGCAAAAAAGACATACATTTATAGATAGAGTTTTAAAGAAAACAGAGTTGTAATAAGTAGTATATAAATTAATAATTATAGTGGTGAAAGGGAAGTTTAAAGAATTGCTAGTAGTTAGAACCAGACTTGGTAAGGTAGTATCTGACAATCAAGCACACGGAATTTCACAGATAATGTATAGACAAGTTGGCATAATTTCTCACGTCGTTGAGGGAACAATTCACAAATAGAACAAGTCTTTATCTTTTATTAATTTTTGTAACGCTAAAACTTAATGAGAGACATCGGATTTTAGCGTGTTTTCTTAAAAGGGTCTTATATTACTTTATTACTAAATGGATAAGCTCACTCAAATATATATATATATATATATATATCCAACTTTGATAAAAGGTTCATTTATGTACTGATGCTATTATTTTTTGAGTTATTGTTCTTTCTAATTTTATTTTATTTTGGTTTCTCAATTTCCACCTGATGTCCGCCTGACTAAATCCGAATTTTCATCGGGAAGTTCCACATGGGGTAAAGCGCACCCTAACAAAGGCGACTATGTACCCAAGGGAACTCGAACCCGAGACCTCTTGGTTAAGGATGAAGGAGTACGTGTCACTCCACCACAAACCCTTGATGGTATTGAAATTAGAGTTTTTGTTCTTTCTAAATTTTTATTTATTTTTGTTTTCCACCCGATGTCCGGTACCCACATTGGAGCCTGACTCAATCTTTGCTAAAATTAGCTAACACTTTTCTAAATAGTTATTGGTAGAACTTTTTACATTTTATTTATTATTTTTATCTTTAATCTTTCAAAATTTTCAAATCAAAATTGTTAAATTTTTTCTATATAATTAAACTAATTGTGTATATTAAGATCATTAATAGTGAATAATTTACTATACAATCAATATGTTCATTGACCTCAAATTTATATTTTAGATGGCCCTTTTTATATTAGTGTACCTATCATTTTGAAATTCTATATAGGTCTCTGTTTTTGAGGGGTCTAATTAGTCATAAATTGACATGAAATTAAATACTTCATCTTTTCAACAATACTTGTCCACTATTGACTTTACACATTTCTCAAGAAATTATAAATATAAGGGTAATTTTACTATATCACCTTTTGAATATAATAATTACAATATCTCGTAAAATGTAATAAAAAAATGACTATAATCAATGATACATGTAAATTAGGAACTAAGTATAAAATTATACATTAATTTCATAAAATGAACAAGTTAACAGAGAATGTGAGAGCATTTACTACTTCATAGTTGACTTGACTTGCATTAATTTTAGTTTATTACTGGAAGTGAAGATCTCAACAATTTGTCTCGTGAATGTGAATGTTTAGTTGAAAAAAAATAATCCACTTGGCGATGTCTAATTTATTGCCTAATAGTGACCTCAACGGAGAATTTAATACGCACTCATCGAACCAATACTTGTTTATTAATAAAAATTATTATTTTATTTTATAAACTTTTTAATTTATTTTCAAAAATTGAAAAACAGGTTATAACATATTGGGGATAGTGTAATTTTGTAAGATGATATTTCATTCTATTTTTAGAACTCGATTTTTGTGGTGATGAAAACGTGTGAAAATTAAATGGATATAGTTTACATGGGAGCTGACATACTTTATCAAAATTAAAGTGAGTCCTATTAATTTTTTTCGAAATTAAAGTCTTACATGTTGGCCAAATAAAAAATAATAATTGGCATGGCCAACTTGTAACATGGGAAACTATATTTTTTGTATTTTTATGTAAAAAGCCACCATATATATAAGTTTAAATGGATAAGCTCGTACCCAAACTCTCGTCTAGTCTTTTTTTTTTAATAAATAATTTGTAGTTAACAAGATTTTTTTTACTAATCCTTGTTGAATATATTAACTTCTAATTTTTGCGATTTAGTAATAGATATTGTTCATCGCTAATTTTTTATTTTTCGATAGTATATTTTTTAATATTTATTCTCTAAATGAAAAAGGTTTTTCTGGTGACACCAAACGTTGAGCTCGATGCTCTCTTTCTTATCTTTAATTATCTGATATTGTTTTTTTTTAAATATTGTTAGTGCATGAAAGTTAAACGTAAATAGATATCAAGCAAAGACAATTTTATATGCTTTTGGCTATTTTACTTTAGGTCAATAAGATTGACTATATATAGTCTTAAATTATATAGTATATGTTACCAACAAAGATTTTGGTAAAGTGATAAGACTATTTCACCCTTAATTAGAGGTCTCGAATTTGAATCCTTGATATGGAGAAAATCATGTTGGAAACGCACCCCACAATGAATTTTGTAGTCCGCGATCCAAAAGAAATCCAATGCAAGCTCTGAACACCAGATAAAAAATCAAAACAGCCATATACTTGCCTTTCACCAAAGTGGAGTTCTGAATTTGATTGAGTAAAGAATAAAGAAGTATTAGCAATCATTCGCCTTCTTATTTAGGTATGGCCTATTTTATGAAAGGGCTTTTTTAATTAAATATATAGTCAAATATCAATAACTATTAGTTTATTGTTTTTTTATATATATTATTAGTAGCCATCTAATAATTCTTTTGATTCTTATTCTTCTTGCTGACTTTGACTTGGTACGCACCTCACCAGACTGAGAATCTAGTTGCTAATTTATTTATTATTAAGGAAAAAAAAGATAAAAAAAATAATTGTAAGAAAATAAATGAATTAATTAAAACTATGTGTTTACACTAGACAAAAAAGTCGTTTAATATGAATTGTGGTGCAACGTTGAGACTGCTTCATCCTTAATCAGAGTTCTCAAGCCCTAAAAATAGAGAAAGTCATATTTTGGAGCGCTACCCCTAGCCTTGATCCAAATTTAGTCAAAACTCCAATATGAGATTTGAATATCGGGTGGAAAACGGAACAAAAAAAAGAGTCTTAAAGGGATTATATCAACCGTCCATCCGGTGAACCAGTCAATAAGATGATTGGCTGGATCTCTTAAAACAGATATATTATTTTTCATTAGTTCGTTTTATAATAATGACTTTATCACGCTTAATTATTTTAACACTAATCAAATATTGTTATATAATTTGAAACGAAACGAATATATGAAAACACGGTATGATTGGAGTAGTTAATATAGTGATCCATGCATGAGCAAAGAAATTTGTAAGATACTTTGCTTTGTTTAGTTGAATAAAAAACAAGTATTGTTCTATTATCGAATTTATAATATAATGCATGGGAACATCGACAACTTTTTATCAAGCCATTGTATTTTACCTAAAAAGGAATTAAATAAAGCTTGATCGTCAGCAGGGAAACACGTTTTTGCAACTTCACACAATCCACAATAATTATTTTTCTAGTAATATAACAGGTCAAATTAAAATTTCATTTTTTGTTCTTTTGTTTTTGCCACAAATTGAAAGAATTGGTCAAAGTTTAATTTCTTTTTGAAGACATCAAATACGAGACAAAAGATTATGAAATGTTCAATTCATAATAGACGCATGCCAAAAATTATCTTAGGAATTTGGTCGATTCACATACGTTTAGTAAAATTAGAGGTGACAAATGCACGATTCGAAATAAGAAATCAGGACTAAAGAAAAATAACTTAAATCATTTTTGGTTGTTACTCCTTTTCTTATGTGGGGATGGTGGAGGCGAGAGAGCATCAAGGTAACTCCAAATTCATAATTCAAAAATTAACTTACTTCTGCAAGCCTTGTTATTCAGAAACCGATTCACTGATGATCCATCTGTATCAGCAAGCTGTGGGTTGTAAATACACTCGAAAACCGTGATAGGTGCTTGAGATCAGAACTGCTTACAGCAGCCTTGACCTGGTCCAATAGAAAGGGAAAGCTGAAAGAAAAGAGAGTTTCACTCCACAAATGATCCGATACATATAAAGATGCTACTTGAACTCGACTCCGTACATTATTCAGGGAACATGACATAGTCATGGCATTTAAGCAAAGATTCCACATGAGAAAGATTTAGAGTGAAATATGAGAGCTAGTTAGTGTCTATGGACTAACCTGTTGAATAAATTTTAACAGATCCACATCAGTTAGATTAACGCCCAAAATACAGGGAACCTGTATTATCAAGAAAACAATCATTTTCTTATGAAACAGGTACAAGAGAATCTTGTTAGCTAGTGGAGAATATTTCCTAAAACGTGAATGACGTCATGAATAGTTTTCCAAATTAACTCGGAATCTTGAAATTCAAAAAGAGAGAACCTCTAACATTGTCTTGTTATTGATGGTATTAGAACAAAAAAGCTCTTCCCTTATAAGTTACAATTCATGATTCACTTGCTATAATCAACCCAATTAAAACATAAAATGGACCTTAAGAGACAATGGGCACAAATGACACGTGAAAGCCTTAAACCCTCAAAAATCCTTCTTGTTTTCAAGCATAGAATTGATATAAACTGTGCTATTGATACCTCAGAATAAAATAACTAGTCTAAGAAGAAGTGCTTTTCATGCTTTGTTTTCCACATTTAGACAGACATACATCCTTCAGAGGGAGGAATATGAATGTTGAAGAGAATAAGCTATAAAGTGTAGTAAAAGGTTTGAGAATGTAGGTGAGCAACTAATCCTGTATTAACAACTACAATCAGTACTACAATACCTTTCCCTTCTTAGGCTGATTTGCAAATGGTTTATTGCAACAAGTGTGACAGATGTTGGCTGCTTGTGAATCAGAATTAGGTTTGACTTCAATGAATGTTGCGATTTAGTGAAATGGAATTTCTGGTAAATGGCAATTTTATCAAGTTCCATAGACTGTTTGTGTGATGAAAAATCTAAACAAAGATCGTAACTTACCTGGTAAATGATCTTGAAGCTTAATAATATATGTTGCAGATCCAACCCCTGTTTTGAATTTGGTCAGCATAGTTGTGTAGTAGTTGGTAACCAAATTTTGGCATGACCAGGAAAAGCATGGTCAAAGACTCAAAATCAATGTTACCTTTTATCAAAATAAACATACCAATCCTTGCTCAGAATCAAGATAGGTTGTTGTCCTCATTTTTCCAGATAGGACCTAATAATTCAGTAAGTTACAGACTCCAAGTTTAAATGACACTTCATTGAGTTTTTAGACAATCATTACCTTCACGTGCAGTTAATCCAAACGAATATTCGCTCATCTGCAGCATGCTGTAATACATGACAATGAGTGTAATGTTCAACAAAGATAAATGCTAGAATCAAACAAAAGATCATAATCCTTGACTATGTAAAAAGGGACAACATTTATTTAGACATAGGCCTCAGTTTCTACACAAGAATATACTCCGCCTGACAGTCACAAAAGATAAATCACCCTATATCACTCTTCTTTACTTAGTAATATCACAAAATTGCAATACCAGATAGTAAGACATTATTTGGTTAAAGTATTAGTTATGCAGTTATAATAATGTAAAAACTGTTATGTGGTAAATAAAAGTGTGGGGATTATTATGCGGTGAATAATAAATGAGTAATGCTACGCAGGGACTATCTACATTAAAGGGAATTTTTGCCTGTAAATACTCTTATATCCATGCATTGTGGAACAATGTGTTTTTATTCCATAATTTATTCCACATAAAATAATACATAGATTCTTGCACAAGTCATGAGGATATTAATAATGAGCAGCTAAATACCGCCAACCAAATGCTGCATTTAGTTATGTCAAGCTTATATTTTCTTATGCGGCTAACTGAGTGCTACATAGTTATGCGGATATTACCTTCTCTTACACGGCCAAGAAACGTTATACTATTTATGTGGAAGTTTTTGCTGAGATTTAAATTTGTTAATGAGGCCAACCAAACAATCCCTAAGAGAAACAATCGTTTAAAGTAAATGCAATATAAGGAAATTCATGAGAAACCAAGAATGGCCATAAATTGACAATGCAAAGGCCAGAAAACCTGATCTATTATAGCAAGTGTTGTGCCTGCCACAATCGGAATAAACTTCTTATCAACCCGTCGGAGAACTTTGGCACCCTCCAAGCAGTTTTTTATTAATGGTATCAGAAACCAATGAATCACCAACAAAATGCGAACCAGAAGAGACATCGAGTATTGTATCCTGATTCTTAAGATTCTTTGTTCCAGTACTGCTGTGCATCTCATATTGGAAAAGGTAAAAGTCCATCATCTTAACAAAATAGAGAAGAAGTCGCAAAAACATCCAAGATATAGCTAAGGTACTCAACTGTAATCTCTGGAAAGGTAGTCCCTCCATTTTATCCCAGAATCTAAGAAACTGAGTTTTTTGTGGTGCAAATAATGAAAATTTGAATAAAAAATGTCAGGCATGACAATTCTATTACAAGATCAGAACACAAGCCAGATGGAATTTGAAAGAGACTATGCGACGTAGGAGACTTAGAAAGAGACATTGTGATCTCTAATGCTTTCATGATTAATGAGAATGCAGTCTAAGATAGTCTTGAAAATTGGGTGAAAGAAATGAAGCTAATTAACTGAAACATGCACTAGAAAAATTTAGCTCTTACTCAGATCAGGAACACATGACAGGAATGGTTTATCTTCTTTTGACTCCCCATCGCGGGTACTTGTGCACCTCCCTTGAGTTTGTAATTTGCTATTCCAGATGTTAACAAGTTTCATTGTCACACTTGACTGAAGAGAGAAACATCAGGTCGTGTGTGAGTTACTGACATATTTGATTGAGATAATATCAGAAAGATACCTAACCCTCCCAAGAAATTTGATAACATTACCTTTCATCAGAGAATGCACCGTCACCACAACTTGGGGTGGAAGATTGATCACAGTGATGGGATGACTGCTATGGAAGCTCCAAGCAGATATCTTCTGCAGAATGATGCAGTCTCCTTACCGTTCTGATTTCTGCATGATGGAAAAGAACATTAATTAGTGGCACACATTTTCTGTCATCATTGATTATTAACACAAACAAGCACTCAAGGACAAGTTACATGGCAATAGTGGCACATCATGAACAGTCTTAATATTGTCCTGCTGCCTTCCTTGAGATTCACTCTTGGCAAAGAACTTCTTGCATTGGTAAAATGGAGGAGCTGAATGGCTTCTTCTACTCTTCTTCTACCTTATAAGATCATCTGATTTTCCTCGATTTCCAGCATCAATCCCATTTTCAGTGAAGTAAGGATTAAAATCCTGAAACCTGGAGTGCATTTGTTTCCTTCGAACTGGTTGGTTGTAAATGCATCATAAACAATGACTGCAAAAAGAAAAATCCCGAGAAATTTCCTTATTAGCAAACAACAGTCAATGCTTATACAGAATTACCTGTTGAACAACTTGTCTACACTCATCAACATTAAGGTGAAAAAACTTGCCGTCATGTAAACAGTGGAAAAAGCAAAGACCAAGTTAGTAGCTTTATACTTATCCTAATGAATACTACCCAACTAAATCTCAAAAGAACTTTACCTTCAAAACCTTACGATATCTATTTGGCCTCCCGTGAGCTTTAGTAACAATTTCCAACAAAAAAATATCATAAATAGAGCTCAAAGCCTCTGCTTTAAAGTCAAAGCTTGCTGGCAAAACATGCATATCGGCTGTTTTTTTATGTCGCTGGTGTAGAGGAAGCATTTGAAACCATGGTTAAAATGGTCAGACAAAAAGGAAGCATAAAAGAATATGAAAGAAAGAGGCACACATACTGTCTCCATAAGTAAAGTACTTGAGCACCAATATGTATGTTCCAACTCAACTTCAGCAAGAATAAATAATCAAACATCACTACATATAGTAATGATCAACAACAAATATATCTCATCTCCGTAATTATGTGAGTACTACCCATTCCCTTACCTAGCACAATTTTCCATTTTTAAGAAATAATCAAAGTCAAAATGTCTAGACCTTGTAAAGGAAAGGGGCCAGTGAGGGTGTTTTAAGTCTACAATTCATGAGTGTCTTCATTCAAAATAACTCCACGTCTTTTATCAGTTCCTGTTTGTCAGTTAAGCAGGGGAAAACAAATTCTTGAACATCCTTAACAGACATTGAGAGGATGACAACATAACTTACTTTTTAAAAATGACTATTTTGAATTTTCTTGAAAAACCAACAAGTTCTTAACTTTTATTAAAAATCTAACATGCAAATATCGAGTTCTTGAATTCCAACCTGCAACTTTTAATGGAAGTCGAGTTTGGACAGCAGGAGTTAAGAATACCAACAACTTCTTGAAATTGATCATGCAAAAGTCGAGTTCTTGAATTCCAACATGAGTTCTTGAATTTTCCTGGAAGAAAATCAAGATAGTGGGAAGAGTAGTAAAATACCCAAAGATAGATTTTCCAATGGGAAGCCAACAAGTTCTTGATCGGACATAGTCACTTGAACTGTACCAACAAGTTCAATGAACTTAACGCAAATCCGAGTTCTTGAAAAAAATAAATCGATAGAGCATTGAATTACTTGAGGAATTTCCGACTTCTTGAAATTACATTCTTTAATGGAAGAATATTAGATAAATTTTCCGATAGCCGGTAGCGTAGAAATCCCGGCGGTCGGTGCATTGATGGGGTGAGTTCTAAAATACGCACCGGCCGGTAGCGTAGAAATTCTAGCCGCGTGTATTAACTAGAATTAATAGTTTTCGAATTAGTTAATACACGCGGCTAAAAAAACGCGGAAAAAATACAAAATATATTAGAATATTATTTTTTTTGCAAATCTTTATTCTAGTACTTGCTTGTGTTTTTATTTTTAATAAGAAGAAATTATTCAACGTAAAGTTTGTTATCATCATATAAAACTAATATTACTTAATTTTTAGTATATTTTCATAAATCAATTCAAAATATGAAATTTATATTTCAAAATTTTTATAGTAAATTATAACTTATAAGATTATAAATTAATATTTTATACATATTAAATAAAAAAAAACTTTGCTACCTTCAAACGGACAACAAATTATTGATTTTTTTCTTAAAACGCAAGATCATGAGAATGTAGAGATTCAATTTCCGAGAATCCATGATAATTAACGAATATCCATGTAAGTTTGAGATCGCCGAAAAAATAGAATTTTGATCGGACCTTAGAGGCCGCCATCGGAGTTGTCTAAGATGCGCGGCGTGTGATATATATAAGTTCTTATTTATATTAGCTTTCAATAAACGCACATAAATAAAATTAACGTAAAACAAAATGAAAAGGAAACTTCTTATTCTCAATAAAAACGCAGAAAATGAATTACTTTCTTATTTCTCTCACCACCGATTGGGCTGAGCCGACTTATTTTAGTACATATTCACTTAGCCCAACCAAATTTATTTTGTTTTCATTTTTGAAACTTTTACATAAATAATACTATATTTTATTTGATCAAATACGTTTTTAAATGTTACTTTATTTTTATTACACATAATTTTAGCTTTAATAACTATTTGATATAAATTTGTATAAATAAATATTAGGTGAAGTTCTGAAAAATTGTATTAAAGTTGTATCAAAATTGTATTAAATATAAGCAATCGGTGGTCTGGCGATGGTGATTTACCGAAAAAAAGAGGTGAAGCTTTGAAAATCATTATTAAAGTTATCTTAAAACTGTATAAATATAAATAATAGTTATAAAACAATTCAAATTCGATATTATACATTACTATAAATTCGATAGTTATTAATCCAGAACAAATATAATACATTTCCAACCATGTAAGCTAATTTAAATAGTACCTGAATATTTGAAATTCACATATAATAATTTATATTAATAATGTTTCAGTTATATATTTATCATGTGTATTGAAACGTGCCTATAATATCTTATATATAGGAAAATATTGAATTCAAAATGTATTACAATTGTTGTAAATAATTTCCTCTTATTGACCGATGCTCCCCATCTCCCTAAAAACGTAGAAACAAATTCTTGAATTTCTTTAAGAATACCAATGTAGTTATTTTAAAAACTACCATTTTTTAGAACAAATTCTTGAATTTTCATGATTTATTTAAGAATAGCATTGTAGTGAGAAGATACATCGTCATTGGGACAGTTAAAAGAACAGAAATCCGGCGGACTCAGAATCAATGAATATAAATTAATTGTTTTGATTGATTAATTTGATCAATAAACATGAATTATTTATTTAGTTTTTCTATGTTAGTCAAATGTATATATTTTTAAAGCTAATAGTAACTCACAAGGGCAAAATAGAAAGAATATTACTCCTTCCGTTCCTATTTATATGTCATCCATTTCTATCAATAGTTGGATCATAATATTTGTCATTTTATAAAATTAATGCATAAATTACTATATTCTTTCCGTTATACCCTTGATAGAATAATTAATTAGTCTTGAAAATATATACTTTGACCAACCTAGGAAAACTAATAAGTACTAATTAATATTCATTGGAGGACTTCATACATTGATTAATTACTCTCTCCATTCCCTATTCGATAAAATCTGATTTTGAAAATAAACTCAAAAATTTAAATAGTCATCCAAATGCATTTTAATTTTTGAAATCTAGCATGTTCATCATTTATTGAAAAGTTGACTTAAGAAAACATTAAATAAGGATAGAAGGGTAAAATTACTTAATTACTTAATTTCTTAATGCTAGCGCAATCTAAAAATGTGGCATATAAAAAGGAACGGAGGGAGTATAATTTATGCATTAGTTTTATGAAATGACAAGTATTATGGACCAACTATTTATAGTAAAGATGACATTTAAAATGAACGGAGGAAGTAGTTAATACACACGGGAATCAAAATAATAATAATTAAAAAATAGTTTTAATACAATATATATATTTTTGTAAATTTTTATTCTAGTATTTATTTAATTAATTAATTAGTAAGAAGTCTTTTTTCATGATTCGCTTAAGCTGGGAATTTTCGAAAATAAACTTTCTTTCTTGAATAGATAGTGATAAAGATTGTGTGCATTCTATCATTTCTAGTCTCTAAACCCCCACTTCATTGATTTCACTAAATGTGTTATTATTCTTATTGATTTCACTAAATGTGTAAAAAATTATTACGAAATATACTTTATACTATTTTTTTTTTATTCATAACAAAAATCATAAATGAACTATTATGAGTAGCATTATAGGTCAAACACATGTATGGTCCTTCTAATTTGTTCATAATCTTTCATTTGGATACTTTAATTCAATCTTGTTTCATTTTAACTATTCATCCCTATTTTCAATGTACCATTTAAATACAAGATATTAATCAGACAAATTAAAGAAACTATTCACCTTTTAAATGCGTAAGGAACTCAACATTAATATTCAATATTTTTATCGTTAACAACCTTCTCTCTTATTTATTTTTCCTATTTTTTTCTTCAACCCCATTTTTTCATTCACACTTATCATGCTTTTTACTTGAATTTGCTATACTTGAGTCGAAGGACTTTCGAAAACAATCTCTCTATCTCCACAAGGTAGTGATACGATCTATGTATACTCTACCCTCACATATTCTACAGATAACACTGATTTTTGTTGTTGTTATTGTTGTTGTAATGCTTGTCTAACTCACGTTGAACACTTATACTAGGTTAAAAAATGTGTTAAATGGTATATAAAAAATAAAATTGAAGAGTGTAAATGAAACAAGACCGAGTTGAAGTGTCAAAGTGATTTTTTGAAGCAAGTTAAAGGGGTTATGTACGTTTGGTAAACTATAACATTGATAATGTGAAATTTGTTATGTTATTCATCGTATTATGAGATTATACATTATTATTTTATACATATTAAATGTATTTTTAAAAAATTGAATACCGAATTTAGGTCAATGTATTTGTGTTTCAAATTCGTTGTCGAATTGTACATCTGTCTCTAATGACCATAATCTCAATTTTAAATTAGAAAATATTTGATATCGCTTTAATTAACTTGAATTTTTATTTTCTCCATTGACTTTTCTCCATGCTTAATTACCTCTCAACGTTTATTTTTTCCTTTTTTTATTTTCTTTTATTTATTTATGACTAATTTTCTTCTTTTGCTCAACTTTTATTTTTTAGTTTTTTTTTTAA